TTAAAGAATATGCTCCGCTGAACATGTTTCCAGCTATCAAAGCGCTACATTACGCTACATCGGTTTGTAAAAGTTTGCACTGTTGATCCGCACTAGGCCTTTGAGGGGATGAAAACCATTAAAGGAGTGGACAGCAAGTGTCGGCTGTTTCGGCCAGAGCTTCATTTAGAGAGATTCCGAGGATCAGCCAACAGAGTATGTTTACCAGTAGGTAAAAAGAAGTCCATGACAACTATTCACCGCAAAGGATTTCGACACGACAGAACTGCTGGAATGTATAAAAATGCTTATCAGGATTGATGAGTCATGGGTTCCCAGTGGAAAGGGTGAGGCGTTATATATACGACCGTTTATCTTTGGATGCGATGTAGGCTATTTCATCCGGAAGATCACTTTGTATAACTTATCTATTTTAGCCAACGCTTGGTGTTGACATATCAACGGAAGCTTTGCTATGCACCATCATGTCACCTGTTGGTGACTATTTCAGCTCAAAGAAAAAAGGAAGCCGATTGTTTGCAGATCCGAGTTACGTACGAACTTGGGAAGGCGGCAGCGGACAATTCAAACTAGCCGCGCAAGTTTCCTTCTTTTGTATATTCCAATAGTGGAACATGCACCTCCAATAGTTTCAGAATTCACGGTAGAGTTTTCTTGATTCAACTTTAAGTGGTAATCACACTAGCTTCATCCATGACCCTTTCACTATACGAACACGAAACTTAAAGTTAAATAGTTATGCAGCTTTTGGTGAGCAAGCTCAATGGCTCTAAAGTAACGCACTTTACTTTTATCACCCGTGGATGTCCCAATTTTCGGTTAATGGCCTGTCAAGGTAACCGCCCTTATGTAAGAGGCAACGAGCGACTGTTAAATGCGATCCCAACGAGTCGTTCTTCATATATTGGATTTTATGGTTATATTGATCCAAAATGACCGTTGTGTGGTTTCGTAGCAGGATGTATTGAATCGTCCGAAGACACTGAGTATAAAAATGCATCCAGTCCTATTTAAATTAGCCGGGCTCTGAAACCACATTACTGTTTTTTGTGATGCATGCAGTCAGTCCAAAATCTGGGACTTTGTACCGTCTGCATGCGACACGCATCGGACAAAAAATCTTTGGTAAATACTACTTATCTTATTCTAGTTGTAGAGTAATAATGGCCTGGTGAAACGCAGTTTACACTAGTTCACCAAATGTCCTGGTGTAAACCGGGAACCAGGAAAGAACTAGTCACCAAAAAACAGGTTTTGTACGATATGTGGAACTTCGTCGCCAAAAGTAAACAATATTACTAATCAGTTCTGTTCCAGCGATACCAAAACAGAAGCTGCATGGGGATTAATAAAGAAATGTTGGTACTATGCATGAACAATGACCTCGGCAGTTGCTTAAAATCAAGCAATAAGAAGTGGAATTGACTTTGAGTAAAGGATTATGGTGTCCTATCGCTGGAGAATCGTGGGCTGATTATACAGTCTTCCTAATTTATTCAGCACCTCCAAACCAGACCACTTGAAGCTTATAAAAGGACTAATCCAAATGTGACGCACCCGTCAGGTCCTTTCTTACCTCCGTTACGATCATATGTTGACAATCCCATGGAGTGAGAGTTATGGGNCTTGAATGGATCTTTCAACCTGCCTAGCCAAGTCCACTGACCTTTGGCCCCGAACTCGCGTACAATGCTGCTGAACGTACTATACTTAATTCCTCTACGCCTAGCGAATCCACTACTGGCGCCTTTTTGAGTTTTATTTTGTGCTTTCGCGCGGAAAGGCCCCAGACTGGGTTGCTATGTTTAAATTTCGTTCATCCAGAAGCGAATGTGCAGTATACTTGAATATTTTTCTTAGAAAAAGTTCTTCTTTCAAAGCAAGTCCCTCCTGACCCTCCATTTAGTGATTCACAGTATTCAGACCTGCATGTCACTGCTACAAAAAATCCCAGGGAAAAGCCAGAAGGCAGTCTGGGGTTTGGAAGGTTCATGACGGATCATATGTTGACAATCCCATGGAGTGAGAAAATCCCAGAAGCCAGAAGGCAGTCTGGGGTTTGGAAGGTTCATGACGGATCATATGTTGACAGTCCCATGGAGTGAGAGTTATGGGTGGGTGGCTCCGAAAATTGAAGAATATGCTCCGCTGAACATGTTTCCAGCTATCAAAGCGCTACA